CATAACAAGGTTTATGAAACAGCGCGGTAAGTGCTTAGCCAGGTGTGTGCACAGCTATAACAACTCATCATCCCGGGCAGTTTACTGCTGCTTAAAGCTAACAGCAGATGTTTCAAGAACTGAAGCAAGATTTATGCAGCTCATAGGTAAGTGGAAAGGACTATAGGGTAGCCTTTTCCAAGTCACTCAAGATTTATGAAAGCTGATTAGATGATACAAAGATCCTTGTGTTTCACAGTAATTCAGATAGACGGTATTTTCTTCCATATATAATGAAAAAAAATCCCAATTTTCTCCAAGAACAAGGAATTACTTCTTTCCAGAATTCACAGTATCTGTGTCTGCAGAGAAACAAGCTGCCTATCCACAGAGAAAGAGGCAAATCGATATAAAGAATAAAAGAAATTTAAATTATTTACTGCAATAGGCTGGCAAAGTTGCTGTAAATACAGTCTAAAATGGTATTCACTGGCTGTTCATTCCATACCCCAACCTATGATGTGGTCACTTTGCAGGGGGAAACCCCATCACTCCAAGACCCAGGGGGTACCCTGTTCCACACTGGACTTCTTTTCTTTACGTTTCCTCTGACAAATTCTTTGTCTTAAGCTCAAAAGCCAACAGTACCTCCACTGCTGCTGCGGACAAAGCGTATGCCATTTACTGCAGCTCAGCTAACACAACGTAAATGTCTACGTTCACTCGCTGGTCTGAGACACAGGACTCCACTGTTAGTGGGGTCACCCAGAAACACTGAACTGACAGGTATGTTTTAAAAATCACCTTTTCATTAAAAATAAGAAAAAAAGAAAAAAGCAGCATAACGTTGCCTGGCGTCAGGTCATTGAATTCTGACTAAAACTCAAGAAGGGACATGGTTTTGTTTCCCCCTTTCACCAGGTCACAGTTAGACATCAAGCAGTGCTTCAGATGGTTGCCACGCAAGCCAGAGAGGCCACGCTTGTATGACTTACTGGCAGTAACCCAGACTTGTAGAATTTGCTTTCTAATCACACAAGAATCAGTATGAAAATCACATTGACAGCTCAATTACCACAAGTCCAGCTGTGACAGTGCTGCATTAAAGGGCAAAGGAATTTGGCAGAAAATCAACCCCCCTGGTGTTCCAGCTTGTCCTTGGATGTCAAAGGGGCCGGGGGCGCTGGGCTTAGATGCTGACTGATGCCCAATGGGACTCCAGGAGTCTGGTTGTGTCCAGTATCAGCCTAGTGGTGCTCGATGACACTAGCACAGCCACGTGCAAGAGTGGTCACGTTCACCAGAGCTCACACGCTAGACTGATACCAGCGCAGTCCATTGGAGCAGCAATGGACACACAAGTTCTTGGCATTGCCAGGGACAAACTCACTGCCTGCAAAGCACGTGCAAATTGCAAATAACAACACAGCCTTGTTCTAAAAAACACCAAGTTGCAGAAGCAACACTATACAGATTGCTAAGTTTGCCGAGGCACGCTCGGTGTAAACGAGTGTTTGAGTCTTACCCAGAGGTGTCTCTATGGGGGGGGGGAAAAGAGGCTCAGCCTGTCGACTGATCCCAGAAGTCAAAGATGGTACGTGACTTGTCATCGATGACATCTTCCCTAACCTCCTCCTGTCTTAAGCTATTTTTTATATTACTTTTTTTACTTTTCAGGTGGAGCCTGAGTGACTCCAGTCATACATACCTTTGTTATAATTGGTATAACATTTCCTCACTTTGCTTTTAAAGGTATAAACTAGAGACAATGCAGAGCACAGGCTCAGTGGGAGCCAGTCACACCCGGGAGCCCGTCAGCTTTTGGGATGGAGGTGTGTTTTGGTATTAAAACGAGATTATAACAAGCCAAGTTCGCTTCAGGACATGAGTTTGTCAAGAAGATGACAGACTGCAGGCCTAGGGTAGCAACCCCCCAGCTCATCAGTTCCGTGGTATCACCACGTTCCCGTCCTGGTGACGGTATCGCAGAGCCCGGCCGCGGTGCCTCCATGGGCTCCACCCTCCGTGTCAGTTCTCACAGCCAGCACACCAGGCTGCCCTGCTGCTGCCAACATCTACAGTTGCAGGTTGTGTTGCCCAGGGAATCACTAGGAAGCAGATTTTTGTGTATCAGCTGCAATCCACTGGGGAGGGGAAACTCCCTCACCACTATGTAGGTGAAGGTATCTTAAGTGCCCCAGCAATTGCTCCACAACAGGACAGTTTATATCCCTAAAATCTCTGATTAAACTTCAGAGTTTCCCTCACAAAATTATGACGACGCAGCATAACTACTCCTGTCTAACCAGAGGTGAGATAATACAGTCTTCAGCTCAATAAACAATAACTCAGCACAAAACCACAACCACAAGCAATCCATAAGAATCTTACAAAAAGGGCTTACTGGAGAACATAGTTTTTTCACTCTAAATCCCCCCATTTCACTGCCACTGTTACAGAAATAATTACTACGTGATGATGAAAGATGACAATAGCCTTGCTCATTAGACAGAAAAGACTACAAAGGTACGTCTTCTAGAATAGCACAATTCAGGGGTCAGCTTGTACATATGGACAATAAAGGTTTTGCACCCCAGCAATTCATGGATAGTAGTATTCTTGTGATCTCTTGTTGTCATTAGCAGGCAATATTTGAATAAATTTTAAGTATCTAGTGCAGCACCAACACTACATGACTGTTTTGAAGAAGAGTCTAGGTCTTGACAAAAAGTCTGAAAAATACAAGTCATCCTGAAAGGTATTTTTTGAAAGAACACAAAAAATTAATTCGAAGTGTGTGAATAAGTCAAATACTGTAAAAGCACACTACAGTAATGTAATCAAAATCTAAAGTTAACCCAGTTTTTTTGTGTTAAGATCTACAGTAGTGGATGATTCACTAAGAATGTGCAGGTAGTGAAGGATTTGCTTAGAACAGTAGAATACAAGGACTGTACATGTATCTGTGTAAACATACACCCCCACCAAGCTGTATATTCCAAAAATAAGCATTAAAAAAGACTCAACTGCTTCTCATTATGTTAAGGTACACAGCATGTGATAATGTTACTCCACATTTTTTCCTCTGGAGAAACACAGACATTTGTGAGAGTCTCATTTACATTTATCCTATCAATTTTACCACACCATTTTATCCCACAGGAGTTGCATCTGACATACAACTCCATTCAGCAGCCATCTAGTGCAAGTTAGACCAAGTAACTTTGAAATGAAGCATTTTAAGATTTGAAATTGGAAAAACATGAAAGTTATATCAACAGCTACCCTGTCTCCAACGACGTATGACAAACTTGTGCAATTCTTTGCTGACAAGAGTATCACTATCCCTGCAGTTCTGAGAAAGCTCTTCAGCAACTGCAGTAAAACTATGGAGTACCAAACTGACACATCCACTGACTTTAACACTTCCCATTCACTATTTCAACTATCACACCTTCACAAATCAGAATCCCAGCTAATCTCAACAGAACCAACTCCAGCCTTTTCTGGTTTTTAGGTCATTTTTGCTACTTAAAGGCATACCTACATCAGGACAATTGGTACAAACTTGTACTTCACTGCAGCTCCCTTCGTACAGTTCTTGTTCTGATGCTGCTTGACTAAATCAATATTGCAGCCCCTCCTTGCTACACTTGCCCTTATCAGCTTTTTAGTAAAAGCTACCTATGCTTTTTGTCACTAGAGCTGTACATTGAGACAACTGGAAAGTGAGGTAAGTTTACACCAGCCTAGTAAATATACAGCCTTATTGTTTGCAGGCTAATAAATAAAAACCCAGCTAACTAGCATATCACAATATACTGATAAATTGTCTAGTTTTAATCCATGGATTTTTAGAAGTACTTAATATTTAAATGGGTACAAATTAAGGAACTGCACCACTCTCCTTTTATCCACTAAATATTGGAGGTTTTTTTAAATCACTGCCTCATCAACAGGAAGACATGATTCCTGCTCAGTTGTATGAGTGATGGAACAATTTCTTGTTCCAATACCAAACAGGTATTTCTTAAGTCACAGGCACTTTGAGAAAAGTATACGCATCTATATTGCAGCCAGTGAAAATACACTCCACTCTTACTCCACTCTTACCGTACAAGCCGATGAAACAAAGCTGCTTCTGATGTACTGAAAGCTTACATGAACAGCAGACAAGAAAAAATTATCCAATAGGCAGCAGACGTGTTTTTCTTTGCTTAGGACACCTAAAGAGACCCTAAAACTACCTAGAAGTTTTAGATTATTTAAAAGATGCAGTTTTATTTTTGGATTTCATGGTTTTGATTACCAGATTCCATGTAACTTCAAAAGGCCAACAATAAGGGAACCAAGGTCAGGGCGCACAAAAAAATCTGTCCTAGAAGCTAGTGGTGGCCTTTCAGCTCTTTTATGGCAGCTACTCAACAGGACATTCCTGTCCATCACACCTACGTAAAAACAGGCAGCTTTGTGAAAGGCAGATCAGAAGTTAGGCTAAGCTCTCTTACATCTCCCATGACAAAAGATACACAGGCTATGCACAGAGCAGTGACAGGGTATCATCCGATTCCAGTCTCTTAAGATAAATCATTTGAATTCCATACAAAGTGAAACTGAACCATGACAGGTGAAATCTGAGAAACCGAGAAAGAAAGTGCTGCTATAACTTTATAGCAAGATCACTATAACCTTTTCTTTGACACAAATGTTAAAGTTGCTATTCAACATCTTCAGTAGTCAAAGACTCAGCATCACCAACTCTTAACCAAGGGAGACATGACACATTACATCAGAGGTTATGCAGCAGGTCCTCCTTTTAACAATTAAAAGCCACAACTGAAAAGCAGCAAAAAAGCCTTTAAAAAAAGGCTTCTGCATTGTTTTCGGAAGAATCCTCCCTTTAATTTCAATTTGGATCTCAGTTACGTTAAAGCCTGTAAATTGTACGAGAAACAGCTCAAGGCATGAATGAAACGTAATAGGAAAGAAGCTGATGGAAAACTCAAGTCTCATGTACCCACCTGTCCTTGCTGCAATGAGATGTGTTGCTTTGTCAGGATCATCAGCGCTCAGTACCAGATTCTTCACAATTTTAGCTCCAAGTGCTGTGGCATGATAGTGTTCCCGTGTTTTCTCAATGGGGAAGTTTGTTGGGTAGAGTCCGCTAAATATTATGGTTACATCTGCCAACACTTTACTTTTCAGTTCTGGCACTATTTTTCTGATGTCCGGAATTTCCTCAATTTCTTTTTTCAGGTATTTATCATACTTTGTGTAATAATCAGTGTGAACTCGCACAAGGATCTCTTCGAGGTATATTAAATGATCATCATCATCTGTATCATCCTCCTCCTCCTCTTCCTCCATACTCTGGTCTAAGGACTCACCCATAGTAATCCCAGACTGTTCGCTGTTCTGAGACTCCGTTTCAGCCTCTTTCTTGTCTGCACACCCATTTCCTAAATCACAAAGGCTTTCCTGTTCACTTTCTTCTTGTGCTTCAAGATCACTTTTGTCATGAATACTGTCACTAGGCAGAGATTGCGTGTCCCCAGAATGGTTCACCAGACCATCCTTTTTCTCACTCGCATCAGTGCAACTCCCTTTCTGCAAATTAACATCCTGCACAGGTTGGTTGGATTTCTTCCAGCTTCTTTTTTCCTCATTCTCACTATCTGATACAGAAGTGGACGACTTTCTGGTATCCAATCCACCGTCACTGTCGCTGTCACTAGACAGTTCAAAGTCCAAGTCATTGGTTGTCTTGTCTTGGGTTTGCTGCTTCTCTATCCCTGTTCTATCACCTTGCTCTGAAAAAATCTGAGATTCTTTTGTATTTGTCAAATCATTAGCGACCTCACTGTCCACTTTATGATCAGTGCTATCATTTAAGGAGTCCTGGGCATTAACTTTATCACGAGAGTTCATATCCCAGTCAGATGTTTCACTGCTTACAGCAGTACTTCCATTTGCAGTGCAAGTATCCTTCGTAGCTTTCTTGAGACCGTTGCTTTGTTCTTCTACACATATAACATTCTTTATTTCTTCAGCATCTTTTGCTGATGTCACTGCTGAATCCAGTGCCTCTGGTTTTGTAGAGTGGTTTACTAAGACACAGGACAGAAAGAAATAAAACATACACATATTTTCTCAGGTTTTTTTTTTTCTAAAACTTAATCAAAATTTCATTTTCTTTTTCCTTAAACAGAGTTTACATATGCAGGTAGACTTCACTATGTTTAGAAGTGACAACTAGGCTTGTAAAGCTGTTAAGATATCTTAGGTGTCAACAATTACTAGAAAGAACTGGCAAACTTAAACTTCACTTTTGTAAAGAAGCTGTGTAAACAGCTTTGGTTTTGGTTTTGGGTTTTTTTTTCGTTTTTGGGGGGTTTTTTCGGGGTTTTTTTTTTTTTTGAAAAATCACACAGGTCATAAGTAATTATTTGTTTATGCAAACATTAAAAGGATTTATGTTGTAGTATGAATTTTACAGTTACACCTCAGGGCAATGAAACTACTGCAGAGAAGGAAAAAAAAAAACCAAACCAGAACCAAATTCTCTTTAGAAAGTCTCAATCCAGCCACAGCTACAGGAACTTCCTCTATGAAATTCCATGGGTTTTATATGTTTCCTATTTTTCTTAACCAAAATAACTGTATTTTAATAGTTGAAGAGATAGACATGTTTTAGCAATACAAAGGCTGTTCGAGGTTCATTTGAGACTGCAGGAATTTTTTTTGTAAAAGTAATAGACACAAAGTCAGAAAAACAGTTTTAGGATGTGTCTTCAGCTGTCTGCAGAAGAGACAGACAATTAAAGAGGCTGTAGACATCCAGAAATTTGCACACAGACATTCATCAGGACCACGGGGTGAAGTCACCCTACTTTGTCTCTCTCTTGCGTGCACGTCCCTGTCCTGCAAGCAACAATACCAGCCAAGCATAGAGGTCCCATGTCATAGTGGCCTGATTCAGTTTAACTACATTATTATTGTTTCCATATTGGACATCACAAATCCGTGGGCCCCGATGGGATACACCCGCAAATGCCGAGGGAGCTGGCAGATGTTATTGCCAAGCTGCTCTCCATCATCTTTGACAGGTCATGGAGGACAGGAGGTGCCTGAAGACTGGAGGAAAGTCAACATCACTACATCTTCAGAAAAGGCAAGAAGGAGGACC